ATTTTGAAGTTAACGTACCTAATTTTACAATTATATTTTCTTTCCATCTTCAAACAGTATATTAGATGAGACTGAGCCTTTTCCTTGAGGCCAGGTGTCTTCACGGACTGGTGCAAGCTGTGATGCAGAACCTTGGAAATCTGGTTTTTACAATTTTTCATTTTCTTCCTTTTTTGCTGTTCTTGTTTATGGGAACATTTTATTTCTTCCATCTGCTTCTTTCTCAGTTGTATGGACTTAGTAGATAAACAGTCTCAGCATGAATTATTTGGGAGATACTAGGAAGTAAGCTATGGAACCTAAGTGAGATGAGTGTAGCAGTAGTGATGGTGTTTGTTCAGGTGTGTAAACACTTTGCTATATACTGTAGTATTTCACACGCATTGCCACATTTAATAACACTGTTGGTGCTGTTATCATCTCTGTTTCATAGTGGTAAACTGAGGTGTGAAGAGGCAATTTTGCCCATGTTGTCACTAATAAGTGATCTGGAATCCAGCTTTGTCCATGTGTACGGCCTGTGTTCGTCACTACTATCCAGCAGGGACATCAGTTGCAAGGACCTTGTAAGGTCCGTTCTCTTTAGTTTGCTTTATTCCTTCAGATTCCCTTAGATGAATTATTTTCTCATCTATGGGCCAGGGGAATTGTGCTTATAGCCTCAAGGTTCATTAGCAAATTCTGTGATGTGGAATGTGTATCATGTGCTAGGCACTAATATCCCATCTTCACGGGGGAAGAAAACACAGAAAAGCAAGTCTGTACTTAATTTTTCTGTTTTAATGTTGGATAGTAAGTTCAGAGACGATAAATGAAACAGGTAAGGTGGGTAAGAAGTAGGAGTGGTCATAGATGGGGCTGTTCAGTAGATCTGAAGAAGCAAGAGCATGAACAGTGCAGATACCAAAGATGAGAAGCGTCACTGCCTTCTAAGGAACTGATATTTAGAAAATCTTAGACCCATGGACTGTCTCACTTTGGGATGCCTTGTGTATGTTTTCTTATTTTATGTTGCTAATGTTGTCTGGTGAAGCCTAAAAACTACTGTTTCAATGTCAAGATTAACACTCTGTGGCTCTGTACTGATAGCAGTAGAAGGAAGTGGTCCAGAAGCCTGGAAAGGTGATCTTGGAATCTGGTGGATTCATCAGAAAATAATGTAGGGTATGTTGTGTGCTCACAGTGAAATCTTACTAACATTGCTTGTTTTTACCAAAACAATAAATGCTATTGGTATATGAATTACAAGTAACTGAAATAGTTTTTTCTTCTCTGACATTTAGAAATGGAGTACTAGTTAAAGCAGGGACATGTAACATTTGAGTTGTGAAGGTTCAGGACTTTTCAGGTATACACTGATCTTAAAAACAGTCTTACTGACAGTTATATGAAATACATGATGTTTTGTGTGGTGTTCAAAGGAAATTTTATGACATCCAATATGTGAGTGCCTTTGACATGTTTACATAAATTTATGAAGTTTGAGCAAACTTTTTATTGATATGAAAATTTAAAAATTAGGTTAGGAATCTTATAGATTACATCACTTCCCCAGAACCACAAATAAAACTTTTTGTTCAAGTGAATGAAATGGGAGAGTGATGACTGAAGTGTTACAGGGACTACTTCGGGGACCAGCTAGGGGAAACCCTCAAAAATGGTAAACCAAACATCTCTGAGAATTGTGGAATGCAGTAAAGACCTGTGTTTGCTGCCAGTGTGAAAGCCTTATTTGTGTAGTGCTGTTAAAGCACATATGTAGACATTATACATAAGTGGGGTAGTTTTTACTTTCATGGATAATTAGAATTGAGGTTTTATCCTTCTGGCATGCTGACCCCAGCAGTACCAGCATTCTCTGTGATGTGTCAGTTCTTCTCTTTTCCGTGTCTTCTTTCTTCAACCCCAGAGGGATGGAAATAGCTTTTAGAATGCGTTTTGTGTCCCGCACTGTTATTTTATAGGCACATGATTCAATGATTTTCTCTTCCTCACCCTTACTTTGGAGAAGAAAAATTAAATTAATTCAGTTTATTCTTTCATGGTTAACAGCTTTGACTGTTTTCATCCACATTAACCCAGGCAAAGAATTCAGCTCAACAAAGAATGAGACCTCATCTGTGTTTCTCACTTTTGAGTGTTTAATGTGCCTGCAGTGTCTGGCACATAGTAGAAGTTCAGTGATTATTGGTTCAACAAGTGTTAGTTGCTACCCACATCACTATGATTTTCTTGCCAAGGATTTGAATTCTGACTTGACTTTCAGCCCATTCTGTATTGGCACTAAAATATTACTTCCTCTGTCACATCCTGTAGCACTTCTGAACCTTATCATATTTTAAATTTTATTTACTTATTTTTATTTATTTTTGGGGGGAGGGTACCAAGGATCAAACTTGGGACCTTGCGCTTGTGAGGCAGGTGGCGGAACCGCTGAGCTAAATCCCTAGCCCGAACCTTATCACATTTTGCTTCAAGCAGATTCGTTATATTTACTGCCAGTTCTCTAGACCATTGTTGTATAACATAATCAATGCTTAATGAGAAATAAAATATGTACCTACATTCCTTTTCTTTAAAACTGGCTACAAAGGAAACATACTGCTTGGCTCTACATGGTTGAGTCTTAGTAAACTTGTGCTGGGAACTAATGGCCACCACTTTACCTTTCTGTTTAATCTATTCTAACTTTTCCCCTGAGGGTCAACATCACATACCGATCTGCAGTTTTTGGAATCTGTCTCTCCTCTCTCTTTTTCTTACCATTGTGTTATTTACCCGACTCTGGACTTAATGGTGGTTTTACCACTCTCTTCTTGTCTCAGGCGAAGGGCTTTGTGATTGTTGCATTCAGTATCATACACTAAAGATTTTTAAAACTTCTTTCCCCAAAACCACATTTCTGAAAAAAATATTAAGGGCCCCAAAGAGCTTTAGTATCTGAGGGTTATATAAATGTTTACTATATTAGAAATGAAAACTGATGAATTACAAAAATTCAGTTATTTAAAAATAAACCAGTTTCATGTTAACATAATACATTTTATGAAAATTATTTCTCAGAATAATGAGAAAGAAGCATTATCTTAACATTGTTTTGCAGATGTCTTTAATGTCTGGCTTTTATACAAGACAGTTGGATTCTCCTGTTTCTGCATTATATCTGTTTGATGTATGGTTTTATTTGGAGTAAATGAAGACAATTTAGCCTCTTACATATATGTAATTATAAAAGGGAGGAGTATTTTAAGGTCCTTTTTATGACTGGTTTTCTACACCCAAACTGAACAAGGAACAGTTTCTTAAAGGTTAGTTGCAGTGTAGAATATGAATCCCTATCAGTGAAATCTTGCACTGAATTACATTAGCATCCATTGTTTCATACTTTTCCCCTTGCATAATTTTGTAACACATGCCCTCAATATTTGGAAACTACCAATTCACTAAGTTATACAGATCCTCCAAATGTTAATATACTTCACCATATAGATTTTTAAAATCACATTTAATATGATCAGCCATCTCCTCTGAAAACCCCGTTAGATATTGAGATATTGTCAAATTGAGGTGGCAGATATAGTTTCCAAAGCTCTGCTTTTCCCCTGAAAG